AGTCCTGGTTTAGTCCTGGTTTAGTCCTGGTTTTAGTCCTGGTTTAGTCCTGGTTTAGACCTGGTTTTAGTCCTGGTTTAGTCCTGGTTTAGTCCTGGTTTAGTCCTGGTTTAGACCTGGTTTAGACCTGGTTTAGTCCTGGTTTAGTCCTGGTTTAGTTTTTAGTCTTGGTTTTAGTCCTGGTTTAGTCCTGGTTTAGTCCTGGTTTAGTCCTGGTTTTAGTCCTGGTTTAGTCCTGGTGTAGTCCTGGTTTAGTCCTGGTTTAGTCCTGGTTTAGTCCTGGTCAGAGGAGGACCAGACTAGGGCTAGAGGAACATGAGAGGAGGAGGTTTCTTTTGACTGTGAAGAAAACCAAGAACATCAAAGTAACAAAGGTTAGAGCTGCACTATTTATGTAAAACTATTTCTCAGACGCACAAAATAATTGCTTTCCTGGCTTTGTTTTTAAAGAGAAAAAGTCTCATACAGAAAGCAACGGTTTTCAGAAACTCGCCTATAACAGTGTGGGCTTCTTCTCAGCAGTCTGGAGCTTGCGTAACCGCTTCAAAGTCCTGTCCAGGCACTGCAGGTCCGACCCGGGGAGAGGCGCCCGAGCCGAGTCCCCCGCTCAGAACAAAGGCTGGAGGAGCGGCACAGAGACGGACTGGAAGTTTACTCAAAAAGACACTTTTTCACTGTCGCTCGGCCCAGATTGTGCATTTGTGTTTATGCTCGCTGCTGAAAACACGATTTTTGTTCTGATTTTAGTCCTGGTTTAGTGCTGGTTTAGATCTGGTTTTAGTCCTGGTTTAGACCTGGTTTAGTCGTGGTTTAGTGCTGGTTAAATCCTAGTTTAGACCTTGTTTAGACCTGGTTTACACCTGGTTTTAGTCCTGATTTTAGTCCTGGTTTAGACCTGGTTCAATCCTGGTTTAGTCCTAGTTTTGTCTTGGGTTTAGTCCTGGTTAAATCCTAGTTTAGACCTAGATTTAGTCCTGGTTTAGTCCTGGTTTAGACCTGGTTTTAGTCCTGATTTTAGTCCTGGTTTAGACCTGGTTTAGTCCTGGTTTAGACCTGGTTTAGTCCTGGTTTTGTCTTGGGTTTAGTCCTGGTTAAATCCTAGTTTAGACCTAGATTTAGTCCTGGTTTAGTCCTGATTTTAGTCCTGGTTTAGACCTGTTTTAGTCCTGGTTTAGTCCTGTTTTAGTCTGGTTTAGTCCTGAGTTTAGTCCTGGTTTAGACCTGGTTTAGTTCTGGTTTAGTCCTGGTTTAGACCTGGTTTAGACCTGGTTTTAGTCCTGAGTTTAGTCCTGGTTTTGTCTTGGGTTTAGTCCTGGTTTAGTCCTGGTTTAGACCTGGTTTAGTCCTGGTTTAGTCCTAGTTTAGACCTGGTTTAGTCCTGGTTTAGTCCTGGTTTAGACCTGATTTAGTCCTGGTTTAGTCCTGGTTTAGACCTGGTTTAGTCCTAGTTTAGACCTGGTTTAGTCCTGGTTTAGTCCTGGTTTAGACCTGGTTTAGTCCTGGTTTAGTCTTTTGTTTAGACCTGGTTTAGTCCTGGTTTAGTTTTTTGTTTAGACCTGGTTTAGTCCTGGTTTAGTCTTGGGTTTAGACCTGGTTTAGACCTGATTTAGTCCTGGTTTAGTCTTGGGTTTAGACTTGGTTTAGACCTGGTTTAGTCCTGGTTTTAGTCCTGAGTTTAGACCTGGTTTAGACCTGATTTAGTCCTGAGTTTAGACCTGGTTTAGTCTTGGGTTTAGACCTGGTTTAGTCCTGGTTTTAGTTTGCAGGGGTCACTCAAAGATTAAACTCAAGCTTGTTGAACTTTTAATGTTTGTTTTTTTCAGTGAATATATATATTTGTGTGTGTGTGTGATGCTTCATAAAAGTGAAATACCTCCCCTTTAATATCATTTCTCGTCATAATTACCAGTAAGTGTAGTTGTTGTGCCCCCACAACACACAGAGACGAGCGCTGCAGCGACAGCCTGAGGCAGGAGCTCCAGACCAGCTCCGTGGCGTCTGCTTCAAGGACCCGCCAAGAAAGTGCGAAAACCCCACTCTTTGTTCCAGCGGATTTCATGTGCTTCTGCATTGTTTGAAGTGGCAACAAACAAAACCAAAGTAGACTGGCAAACACAAAGCACTTTTATCTCGCTGCCTTCTCTTTCACACAAGTCCAATGCTTTTCCACGATTTCACATCCTCTCGCTTGAACATCTGAGAGTCAGAAATCGTCACAAATTTCATGGAGTAAGTTGCTGTGGTGATGAAGCAGAGATTCAGCCAGTACTACCACGATCAAACAATATGCTGTGTTCACGTGGCATAATGTTCTGTAAGGCCTATTGTTTAAAAACGAGCTGTGGGCAGGTCAGAAATCTATTCTGGAATTTGTTGTTCAGCTGTCACACTGTAGATCTGTTGACCTGGTTTATAGTCAAAGATGCTGTGGCCTTCCTGATTTTTAGTTACTTAAAAACAGGATAATTCATTTCAAACGGTTTGCAGTGGTCCAGAGTTATTCCTCATATATCGTTTGCATTTCGAGCAGCTTGAGTATTCACCACAATGAGACAAAGCACAACTGGCATGCTAATGCGCATGTCCTGATTATCAATGACAATAAAGTGCTTTCTAATGAAATGCAGACAGTGGACATATTTTGACCTAAAGATCTGCTTTTACAATAGTTCAAATACACAGAAACATCAGGACAGGGTCTTTAACATCTCTTACTGGGCCTATGCACATCACACAAAAACTGTCAGAAAGTCTAAAAAAATCTGTGTAATCACCATTATTCAGACTTTGGTCTCTGATTACATATTATTACATTTTGTAATAATGTGACACAAAACGTTGCTGCATTTGTTAATACATAATGCAGCATTATTACATAATATTAAACACCTCCAAAAACGTACACACTGAACCTTTAAGGTGTAGTTATAAATTGGTACTCAATGTTTTATTTTATTTTATGTAACATAATTTTATATAACAGCATTATAACAGAAGATCCAATTATCTGTTATAAATACACAAAGTAAAGAGAGCTCACATTTATGAAAGACGACTCTCTGAATCTTCACATCAATTAGAGATGTGTCTTACTCTGTGCTCTGAAGGCACAGTGTGCAGCAGCAGAAGAAAGACTGTGTGTGTCTGTGTGTGTGTGTGTGTGTGTGTACATGTGTGTCTGTGTGTGTACATGTGTGTCTGTGTGTGTACATGTGTGTCTGTGTGTGTTCGTGCACAGCCCTGCTGTGGCCCTATCTCTCTGCTTGACTGTGTGAGTTTGAAATTGAAATGTCTGTGATGATTGAACTGTGGCCCCGTGCGCTCGGCATGTGACCGAGCTCAGCAGGAGCACAGCATTTATATGGAAATAGATTGTGTCCAGTAATCAGGCTGGCATTTACATAACTGTGGAGAGGCCAGGCCAGTATTTTGACTTTCACTGATTTTTTTGATATATGTATATATTTTTTTTCACATAGTACTGGATGTTATATTTTCTACTGTTGGGTTGTTTAAAGGAAAGTGTTACTTGCTGTAAATGACACTGCATGATTCTTTGGAAATACAAAGTTAAAACCAGAAAGTTCTTCCTGGAGTTAACCAAGTTTTATGCCGTACTGTTGAGGATTATAACCAAAAGAAAAACATTTCCACAGAGACAAGTAGGAGGATGCCCTTCCCCGGGACAAATAAGAGTCAGGTTTGTGGAGATGTTCCCACTCACTGTAAGGACACGAGTTCTTCGGTGCAGTAAAAAAAAAATATAAAAAAACTCCTCTGCCATGCTGGTCATCTGAATTGTTTTGTACATCTGACCCTTCTCTCTCAGTAAAGGGTCAGAAAGAGGCGTGCTGGCCAAGTGGTAAGGTGCTGGTTGTGCAAACACAAGTCAGGGAAACTGTGAAGATACATGAAAGGTTTATTGCCACACTGAGATTGTCTTCTCGCATGAACAAACTAATTGTTTTCCTGATATCCAACCTTTCCCTACACACAATATCAGAGTTCATACCATCACAGTGATATGTAGCTAAACAGTGTTAGTAGTTTGGAGACTATCCAAATTCTACTCCCGAATGAATCAGTGCTTGTCCTTGTACCTCCACCTTCCATGTCTCATGTAGGTAATCGAAATTGTTACACCCATTTCTTCCTTCTGTAAGACTGAATGAAACTTCGAAAACACGAAAGCAGTAGGCGTGGTGGCCGAGTGGTAAGGCGTTGGTCTCGTAAACCAAAGATCATGGGTTCGACCCCCATCCATGCCTGGTTTGGAAGACATCTGTCGCGTAATGGATTTAATGAAACTTATATTATTGTAACTATTAATGCAGCAGTATTTCATTAACAACCTCTTGAACAACCAAAAAGTGACAGGACTTCAGGTGTGGTGGCCAAGTCGTAAGGCATTTGTCTTGTAAACCCAGGTTCATGGGTTTGACCCCCGTCCACGCCTTTACCTGCCACTGTATTTCAAAGATATTTGACTTTGATTAAATTAACTTACATACTCACTACTGTTGCAGCATATTTTCAACCTAAACTACCCTAGCTAGTGAGGTGCTGGTCCTGTAAACTCAAGATCATGGGTTCAATCCCCATCCATACCTTCATATGCTAATGTATTTCATGGATGTCAGCCCCATATCATAGTTCATTTTTGTCCTCCTAGTGGACATCAAAAATATGCATGTTTGTCACAAGGTGGCCAAACACAGCAGAACCTTTTGGACAGCATATCACACTCGGGCCAAACATCCAAACCTACTGCGGAAACAGCTTTCCAAAATGTCTGTTCAAATTGTTTGTCTAAGTCTATGTCATTTGGCATTGCATCATTTTAAACTTTTGAACATTTGTCTTTAATCTGTGTAATGTTCCATGTTGGTCTAAATTATTTCGCCCTTTTGACCATTTTCTCTGAGTGAACTAAATTATATATTGATGCAGCCGTATTTAGTTAACAACCTAATGAACCTTTAAAAACGTATTTGTCTTCT